TACCCTGTCAACCCCAAAAAACTCCTCAATTCCTTCACAGTCTGTGGTATAGGCCACTTCAAAATACAGTCAATCCTAGTTTGATCCATACTAACACCCTTCTCAGAAATAGTATGCCCCAAATAGCCTACTGTTTTCTGAGCAAAAGAGCACTTAGATCTTTTTGCATACAGTTGGTTCTGTCTCAGAGTATCAAGCACTATTTTCAGATGCTGAACATGTGATTCCAATGTAGGACTGTAGACCAATATATCATCAAAGAATACCAAAACGAATTTCCTCAAATATGGTTGAAATACCTGGTTCATCAGAGATTGAAAGGTGGCTGGTGCATTGGTAAGGCCAAATGGCATCACCAGGAACTCATAATGGCCACAATGAGTCTGAAATGTTGTCTTGTGAGTATCCTGAGTCTTGACTCGAATCTGATGATAACCTGCTGTTAGATCCAGCTTTGATTTGAATACGGCTCCTGCTAACTCATCTAGTAGTTCTTCTACATTTGGTATTGGATATTTATCTTTAACAGTCATCTCATTCAATTTCTTATAGTCCACACAGAACCTCCAAGTGCCTTCTTTCTTTTTGACTAGCAGCACTGGCGATGCAAAGGGACTGGTGCTATGTATAACTATTCCATTCTCCAACATTTCTGTAACCTGTCTTTCTATTTCTCCTTTTTGCGAGTGAGGGTAACGGTATGGCTTGAGCTTGACTGGTTGAGAGCCTGGCTTCAGAGTAATGTCATGGTCAATGCTCCTTTTTGGAGGTAAGGAATCAGGTGTCTTGAAGACATCAGAATATTCACCTAGGATCTCCTCCACTTCTCTGGGTATGGCATGCTCATTTCCATCCTTATTTTGCTTCCATTCCATGGCTGCACACACTTGTCTCTTATACTCAATAAAATACCTCAAGTCCTTCCCTCTGATCAGGTCCAGATCACAGTTTTCAGCTTGCCCTTGTAGGTGCACTGTCTGTCCTTGATTGAACAGAGAAATCCTCAACTGATGGAAATCAAATGTGATCGGACTGAAGTGTACCATCCAATCCACTCCCAATATAATATCCCATCCTCCCAACTCCATGACTTTAAGATCAAACCTGAACTTGTACTGGTTGACTTCCCACATCACACTTGGACAGATTGCATTACTAGTGACACAGGTGCCATTTCCCATGATTACAGAAAAAGGATTTGAGACCATTTGGTACTTGATATCCATGCCAATGACTAATTCACTGTTGATATAGCTGTCTGAACTGCTAGTATCCACTAGGATCAGCACCTCTTCCCCATCCAGCTTCCCTGTCAGTGTGATGGTCTTTCTTTTTAAGGCCTCAGACAATGCATGAAGAGACATTTCCATCACTTGGCCAGGATTTCCAGTATGGTCATCTTGTTCCCCCAGTGCATCTTCGAGCATTATGTCCTCCTCTTCTTCACCAATCAGCAAGTTTAAGTGTCCTAACTTACATTGGTGACCAGGTCCATACTTGTCCCCGCACTTAAAGCACAATCCGTGGTTTCTCCTGTACTGAATTTCCTGAGGTGAAATCTTCTTAGGATCCTGATAGTCAGTTTGTGAGTTCCTGAATTTAGTGTTCCTGAAATTACCAGTTGAAGGTATCTTGTAAGTGTTGATGTTGGCGGCTGCAGGAGTAGTGTCTTTGGTCATTCCAAACTTGCTTTCTGCAGCATTTCCGTGGCCTCCTCTAGCTCCTCTGAATTGAGCTTTAATGTTGCGTTCTTGACATAGAGAGATCTCAAAGGCCTCCGACAGTGTCGCAGGCCGCAGCATCTTCACCATAGGCTTAATTTCCTCTTTCAGGCCACTAATGAAACTGGAGGTGAAGTAACTTTCATCAAGATTTTTGTTCTTAGCCAACATTAGTGGTTTTAATTCTTCAAACCTCTCCTGGTATTCTTCCACACTTCCCTCCTGTTGTAGTTTGTTGAATTCCTCAATTATGTCTTTATAGCCATTATCATTGAATCTTTTACACAGAATCTCCCCAAACTCTTCCCAGGTTAGCCTAGGCTTCTCAATCCTCACGCCTTGGAACCACCTGTCTGCCTTCCCATCAAGATACATCTCTACAATAGCTACTTTCTGCTCATTCGGAACTTGATAGTTAATGAAATACTTGTTACATTTTATCAGCCATTCTCTCGGATTCTCTCCTGAAAACAATTGTAAATCAATTTTTTGGGGATTTGGCACTTGAACTTTACCTTCTTGCCTGAAAGCTCTCGTAACTTCTGCTTCTGGATACAACCTGAACTGAGAAGGGGGGGTCGGTAACAGCGGTGGTGTTTGTTCTGTTCTTCCCCTGGCTTCTTCCTCCGGTAGTTTCTCCTTCGCACCCGTCACATTCAGCATTAGTGAGCTGAATTTTTGTTCTAAGAATGCTCCAAATTTCTGCTCTATTCCAGTTACCAAGCTTTCCATGCGCTTATTGCTTTCTTCCAGTTCTTGACGAATCTCTCCTCTGAGCTGCTGCTGCGAAGATTGCGAAGATTGAAGATTTTCCATGATTTCTTGTAGCTTAGCCTCCTGCTTCCGTACTTGTTCTTCCAAGGTCTTGAATCTGGTGCTTTCTGCCATGATTGTGTCCAAGGATTCTGCTAGCTCTGATGCCAATTTGTCACGGATTTGGATCAATGGATGATGAATTTAGGGAATTTGTTGGGAAGAATGGGAAACTGGGAAAAGAGTAGAGTGAGAGAGAAGACTAGAGCGAGAGAGAAAGAGAGAGAGAGAGAGAGAACAGAAAGAGAAAGAAATGAAATCAATACTGATAACTGTCCCTTGTTACAGGCTGTGGGTCCCATTTATTGTTAGAAAGCTAACTACCGTAACTAACTAAACAATTAACCAAAACGATGCCGTTCCAATAATGTGTATTCATATCTGCTAGGCTGACATTGACTCACATATGGCAACGATCTTCTCGAGACGATTTGCTCGCGTCAAGCTGCTCGATCGCGAGTGGCTTATGAGTAGTTTGAGTCGTATACAACTCTAGTCAGAATTTAGATATAGGATTCTCCGTGGTACTCAAAGAGCCATTGCGAGGCATGCATTTCCCTATGGTGTATTGGCCCCTTAAAATATCTTGAATTTGGTGAAGAACAATGGAAGGATAATATGGGAAAATGATTGAACTTTTTCTTGTAAATCGTCTAAAACTAAAATAAAGTCCTATATCAAATGTGTTCATCTTCATGAAATGAAGAAGGAGGGCTAGACCAGTAGCAATGGTCACCCCTTTTAATGAATATGTTTATATTCGACTCTCGTCTGTCCATTTCGATCTAGTGCACCTCCAATTGAATACCAAATAATCATGTCTAAGTGAAACATCAGTTCCATGTTTTTGGGTTCACTTTTGTTTCTCTGTGAACTTCAAACTAATTTACGGTTTTCCCCCTCAAATTCCAAATACAACTACAGGTTTCAAGACTTTGCCAAAAAATATACGGGAAAAAAAAGAAGAAGAAGAAGAATTAATAGTCTTCCAGAGAAGTTGACATGTTGAATTTTTTCATTTATGGACAGACATGGACGTAATAATTTCGCTGCTGAATTGATATTTTTGTGCATACAAACTTTAATTGTTGACTCAAAATTCAATAGAATTTACTATACTTAATAGAGAGGGCTACCACTATAAGCCTACAACTAAGGTAAGGACCGAATACAGCAGCAACACTTTATCAAGGTTTGACTGATGAAGCCACTGCATGCCCTAGTAATCTGGTGTGGTCTTCCTGCCACTCGTCAAAGATAACCAGCTTGATGACACTCAAATCTTGTAGAATTGTATTTGGTCATGGAGCCCTCCTCTATCAAAAGAAAATTCCATCTAGACTCACCCCCACAGATAAATGCATCGTGCACCAATATCTCTTTCGTTCAAGATATTATTTTCTAATTTACAAACAAGACAATCTGTTATATCTCCAAAGATAACCAAGACAATTGTTTTTGACGCAAATTGTTACAATGAGGAGAATTGGAGGAGGCACTTATGATAAAATTAAGATCTAACCTAGGAAGCTTTGAAGTGGTCGAGGACTATTATTTCTGAGAAAATTATAGTTTGATTTGTCCAGAGTATTGCTTATAGTCAGGTTTGATCTTAGACCAAGAGTAGCTCTTTTACAGGTAGTATATACTGAATTATCTTTTACAGTGTTTCTATGCAAAAGTTCACTCCTTACCAGATATAAATAAAAAAGAGCAAGTCTCCTTCTGATACAAAACAGGACCATATAAAACCATCTGGCCTCGGAGATTTACAGGGAAAAATCTGACTCAAAACCCTAACGACCTCAGCCTGAGTATATGGTTTAGTGAGTTCTTGGTTCATGCCATCTGTCACCTTACACCAAACTCTCTTCAACACCAGTTGAATATTCTCCTCCGAGGGGTCAGAGGAGGAAATTAATCTCCGAAAATGATCCATAATAATTCTTTCAATATCACCTAACGCCCCCATATCATAGCAGAAGCTTTGGAATGAAAATATCTTGTGTTGCGGCCCTAAACTAATGCTTTTTGCTACATTGGCTTCACATAATTTTGGATCCGGGGCCACTAGTTCAATTCAGTTCGTGTAGTTTTTGCAACACTTGGCGTAAATTCATATAGTTTTGGTATAATCACGAACCAATTCAATTGTATAAATTAAGAAAACCCAAGTTTTATGAGTTTAAACTAAACATTAATTGTAAAAATTACATAAATCGGTTTGAATTGGACAGAACTCAATTTGTTAGCCCGTTTCTCATAATTTTCTCTTCACCCAAAAGGTCATCTAACTCAGACTCCAATCTTCCAATTTTCCCCTTTACTTGATCCTTAAGAGCAGATTTCAGCAAATACTGAATTTTAGCTCTCAAACAATTAAAATATAATTAACTTGTCCTTGTAGTCCATAACAGAAAAAGAAAATCGGTGCTGTTACATGAATATGATAGGAATCCAAAATTCGCAACTTCTACACAATAGTGACACTTCTTTATTCAGTTACCAAAATCATACAAAGCTTAAGATGCCTTTCCGCGTAGATAACTATAGATCAAGTAAGGGAAAGACTGTGGAAATCACCATATAAATTACATATTTTGTATCGCATCTATTGTTTGGCACCACGTTAGGATACAATCTCTTATCATTTTATTATCAAAACAAAGCACACAAGTAGAAACTGTGATTGCACTTGTATTGTGTAAGCTGCCAGACTATCCAGTGGGCTCAGGGTGTGGTGATACCTGAAAATCAAAGAGTTAGAGAAAAGTGTTAGCTAGCTAACTCGCTTATCCTCTTCTTCTTTTACATAAGCCTGTTTGGCTAAATATAATAATAAGCAAGGACATGGATTTCGAATCACAAATCAAGCTCCTAAGCCATTTATACAAGTGTTGTCTTAGTGATAGTGCCAACTGCTACGAATACTACAAGAATCACTTCGAATGAATTTTTACCCCTCTTATAAAGGGGTTGAAATTTTGGTAAAAACAAAATTTATATATACGCTTTCTTTGATCTAAAAAGAAGAGAGTAAGAGGGTAATTAAAGGGACGTACTTCCACACTTGAAGTGACGAGGGACCCTCCTTCCGCAACCTTCAACAAGGCGAATAGCTCGATTGAGGTCGATAAGGGCAGCCAACTTGGGAGTGATAACAGGGCAAACACACTCAATATCAGTGACTCTAACACGCTCACAACAATCAGCTGAAGGAGGCTTTCCATACACAACAGGCTTGCAGGCATTAATCCCAAGCTTCCTTTCCAGCCTGCATTGTGCCTCACTTGGTGCTGCACTAGCCCTTTTCGCACTCAAACAAAGGAGGAGCAAGATCATGATGATGATGCTCACAAAACACGATCTAAATTCTCCCATTTCGGCCTCTCTCTTTTTTCTTCTCACCTACTCTTCAATTTAGACACCTAGCTATGACTGGTATTTATATACAGTAGAGCAGAGGCATCGAAATTGGAAGATAGCCTTGTTTGTTAACTGTTAAGTGCACTGCCGAATACTCTTTTGTCTCTTTTGGTTAATGTTGACTTTGATGATCCTAAGTAGCCAACTTCGCCCCCCTAGTGGGCACAATGGTCAACATTGATATGCATTTTTCCAGTACGGCCTTTGCAGTGCATGTTGCTGGTGCCATGCTCGGCATGCTGCACTATATGGGATTGTAGTGGATTTCGAGGACTTCAAGAAAGTAAAATATAGTGAGTTGAGCCTGTTTCACTGGACTTTCTTATGAAATTCGCTTTACAATGGACAAATAGACAAAATTTTGTGTCCCCTAAGAAAAATAGTATAGATGGTGAAGAATAACTTCTGCTACCGCATAACAAGGACAACAACATATTTGCGAAGACTTGTGGTTTACCAGGTAAAAGTCGAGATTGGACCCGTGAAGCCTGATGCAGATGCTGAGAAGTTTCATTTTCGTTTATTTTCATTGGTAAAATGATTTTGTCCATGGGCCATATCCCATATGAGACGTTTAATTTCTAGAATGTCACCCTGGGATGGCGTGCTTGAATAGAATACTCAATGGGTATATTGCAGTAGCTGGTCGGTGGTCGTCCATTTTTACTTGTCGCAGTAGTGATTGACTGGTTCGGTGAAAGACTACTTTCAAGGAAATCATTGTAGACAAATATTGTATATCCAAAAGTCTAACGATAGTATGGTTTGGATCGCAATTTTTAAAAGAAATTTTTTTACGTTTTTTATAAACATATTTTTTAATCAATTTTTTACTTTAAATGCATCAAGATATTACGTTTACATTTTTTTTTATAAAAACTCTTTAAAAAAAACAGCAATTCAAGCAGGACATTCTAGGAGGACGACATAAAAAAATTGATACTTGAGTAATGTATGCTAATACAACAAAATTAATGTAAATTGTAAGTATACTGCATCATAATACTTGATTAATTTCCATTTTGGTTTGGTGGCACTCATTAAGAGTGGTTATACATGTTAGTTTTTTTGAGAAAGCATAGTTAACTTAGGAAAATATCTAAATATAGAGGACATAATAATTATAATTATGTGTATTCACATAAGTTAAGTGTAATTTAGGTATGCTAACGAGTGCAATCATTTCTATTTAGCAAGCTCCAGGGGCTGTTACTCAAATAACTTTGCATTTGGACCTTGCAAGTTGTAGTATAATGACTTTAAGACCCCACAAATGTCAATTACCTTAATTTGCATGCTTGTTAAATGAGATAAATACTTCTCCTTATTGCCTGTCCTCATTTTGTTTACTTTTAACTGTAGGTGGATTTGAGCATTACTAAGAAATAGTAAAGATACGTGTTTAAAGCTAAGAGCAATTTAGTTGGAGGTTTAAAATCTATAAACTAATTTAACATTTTGTTAAGTAAGGTATTGCTACGAGCTAATACAAAAGGCTTGTGTCTTTTGATACACTAATTATAATTTATAAGACAAGAACGCATTGCTTTTCTAGTTTTCCTTTTCTTTTTTCAGGTAAACTTTATTTTACTGCTTGTAGCAGAAATAGAGCTTAAAATGATAAAATGCCAATACAAGGCAGGGCCATACAAGCAAACACTACAACTCTTCAATGCTAGACACAGAAGCATTGATCGATCAACTGAACAGAGTAAAGAAATCAATGCTCGGCTTTATTCAACTACTGTCTTAATAAAATGCTTCTGGAATATGTAGCAGATTCTCGTGGAGTCAGCAGTACAAGAGAGAGAGAGAGAGAGAGAGGTGGTCCTCTTCATGCTCATGGGAAATTCAGACCTGAAGGAGAAGAACAAATTAGTAATTTAAACTAGTTCAGCCACCAAAGAGGATAAAGCAAATTAATATGCGAATCAGTTTGTATATTCAGATGGAAAACGTTTCCATCAAATTTTCAAAAATTAGTTTTTCAAATACTATAAAATTTTTTAAAAAGTACTCTAAAAAGCAGTCTAATTTTTTTTTAATGTTTAAAAAATATCCTAAAATATATTCTAAAAACTCTACTACTCTTAAATATCCCAAAATATAGGGCCTGTTTGGAACCGAGTTTTTTGGCCAAATTTTCTAACTACTAGTTTTTTAACAACTTTAACTACAAGAACCCAAAAAAACTTATCAAATTTTTTAACCAACACACTTCAAAATATCTAATACACAAAAAACTTCCTCTTTTCTTCTTCTTTCTCTCCCACCCCGATCCACCACACCTTCATCGACGGCTACCATCTCCGCCACTACTTCCGGCGCCGGCCTTCCTTTTTTTTTTTCCTTCCTTTCTCCTTCTCCCCCTCCCCCTCCCCTTCCCTCCCCTCTCTCCCTTGCCTCTCTGGCCACCCTCCCCCTTCCCTAACTGCGATCTGGTCGCGCGGTACCAAACCGCATCTGCGATCTGGTCACGCGATCAGATTGGGCAAAGGGGGAGGGGGAAGGGGAGGAGAGTAGGAAAGGGGAGGAGAGGGGGAGAGAAAAAGCAAAAAAAAAAAAAAAATTCGGGACGCCATGGCTGCTGGTTCTCTGGCTTCGGGAGGGAGAGGAGGAGAGTGAAGGGGAGCAAAGAGGGACAGGGGAGCAAAGAGGGAGAAGAGGGGAAAAGAAAAAGAAAAAAAAATTTGGGACCATGGCTGCTGGTTCTTCAACGAGGCAGAGGTCTGGTACCGCGAGGGAAAAGGGAGGGGGAAGGAAGAAGAAGAAGAAGAAGAGAGGAAAGAAAAGAAAAAGGAAAGAAAGAAAAAGAAAAAGAAAGAGAAAAAGAAAGAAAAGAAAAAAAAATGGTAGGGTCATGGCTACTGGGAAGGGGAAGGGGGAAGGAAGAAGAAGAAAAGAGGAGAGAAAAGAAAAAGAAAGGAAAGAAAAAGAAAGAAAAAAAAAGTTTTTCATCTTAAAAATTTTTTCCAAAAACTTCTACAGTGCACTATAGTAAAGTTTTAGACAAATTTCCAAAAAACTCAGATTTCAAACGGGATCATATTCTAAAAAATTTCAAAATATATTCTAAAAAATCTTATACAATAAAATTTTTCAAAAACACCTCCAAAAATAATTAATCCAAACGGATACTTACTACCACATCTAAAATGATGAGGAACCCTTCTTCCACATCTTTGAAGGAGCTTAGTAACCTTGTTAACATTCAACAAAGTAGCCAGCTTATGAGTAAACATGGGGCACACACACTCAAAGTGGCTTACTCTCACCCTCTGGCAGCATCCCGGCGATGCCGGCTGCCCGAAAACCACCGGCCTACAGGCATTGGTTACTAGCCGTATCTCTTCTCTGCACTGCCCGGGGCTCAATTGCTGCCCGTTCACCATTTCCCCCTCATGCATAACCAGCACTGATAAAAGCAAAACCATGCAGGCCATCTTCAAAGTTAGGGACTGGCTATTGCCTCTCTTGGCACCCTCCATCTCCCAAACAAATAAAGAAAAGTTTTTTTTTTCACAGAATATATTAAGCATATGATTTGTTTGTTTTGGTGCCTAAAAATTTTATATATCCATCGACTATTTATGAAATCCCCCGAGATAGGGACAAACATCTCATGACGTATCCAAATATTCAGGTTGACAAATGACAACTAGACTTTTTCTGGTGATTATTTATGGCTGCAAATTTCCACATGGAATTTAGTGCCAGTTCCCATTGAAAACAAAGTCAATTGGTTAGTTGTATGCCAAACGGGACCGAAGCATGAACGCCCAAGCAAGTAAATGGAACCAAATGCAAGGCAACTGCTTCTTTTCTTTCTTTTTTTTTTTTGTCTGACAAATAACATACTTTTTTTTCTAATAGTTAGCATTAGTCTACTCTACACCTACTTGTAGAAGTACTTTAGCCTATTTTATGAGGAGGGTCCAACTAAGCCAATGAGGAGACCGACGGAGACTGAACTACCATCGGACCAAACGGATATACAATGCATCCATAAGAATTTTGTTTAGATATACTTTGGACTCTAGAAGAAACGAATTATCCCCAGTCCCTGTGGATTCGACCCTACTCACCGCTATATACAAAAGCTGTATTTTTCTCGAGTAGGTATTTATTATTGCACAGGTTCGGCACCTGTCAATTTTTGGCACCGTTGCCGGGGACTGGTGCCTGATTAATTTGTTTCTTTTTGAGTTTATCTTGTTTTCATTTTTTTTAATTTATTTTTCTCTTATTTTTTCTTTTTTTTATGGCTGCTAACATTCCATATTTTGATGATAGACTGGACTTTGTTCCTGAATGGGGTTATGAGACTCATGTTTTCCCTAATGATCAATGGGCTGTTGCAAATTGTGGAACTTATTTTGATTCAGGTTATTCAACTGACACATGCCCCGCATTTCAAGATAATCTAAGCGCTCCAATTGATACTTTTGGAGATTTTCCACCCCAATATCAAACGCAGTATGACCCTTATTCAAACGAGTATGATCACGGATGGTGGGATAATTCCAATTTTAATCATGCGACGGGGCCAATGGATTTTCAACAGCAAGAGTCTCAGCAATCATCCTCCGTGTCAGGTATGTCTCTTGAAGAAATGATGGAATTACTAATTGCTAATACAAATCGATTTCATCAGGAGACACAAGCGAGCCTAAATCGATTTCATCAGGAGACACAAGCGAGCCTTCGCGACCTGGCAGATCAACTATGTCTATTGACATCCGGAATAAATCGAGTGGCTTCTCAAATGGAAGAATTGCCCTCGAAAACCGTTGTTGATCTAGAAGAAAATGAGAGTGCAATTTGCTTGAATGGTGATGAGGAGATGCAAGAGTGTCAAAATGAGAAATCTACAGATGTAGTTGAAAAAGAAGCCGAAAAGGAAGAAATGGAACCCCAACCGCAACCCATTCAAGTGAACGAATCCAGTGAACAATCTCCAAATACGGTGACATCTTCTCCACTCCTTAATCAATATTTTTCTGACTCCTA